TGATCGCTGGATTACATTTGATTTTTTATTTGGACCTGTCTCTAGTGTGACATGTTCAGGCAAAAGGCTTATTGCTGATCAGATTTCTTATATTTCCTTTGATTATATATTATATAATTCCTATATACAGCACAACTGTATAAAACCCCGAAACCAGTGCACAGCCCAACACCAACATCATTCAATAATGTCTCTATGTGCAATACAGAGTTTAGAATGATCCTGTCATCAACATGAAATAATAGACTAAGAAACTAAAACATGATTGATTGTTTTTATTGTTATCATCATGTTTGTTAAAAAAAGGTTTACAAAGAAAATAAAGATTTATTTTCCACAGTAATCTTTTTTAGGGGAATTAACAGCAGTTATTCAAAAGTAGACTGATGGGAAATGGGAGTGCAGCAAATATCACCAGGCAAGGACCTGAACTCTTCCCATCCATCAATGTGATGGGTGATCTGAAATTATTACAGATTTTTTAACTCAACTTAAAATAAAATATGGTCTTTAATATTTATATGAGTGTGCTATACATGCAGTCCCCTTTCTCATACCCTGAGATAAAAGACTTAAAGAAACAGTAAAACAAATTTAAAGGAGTAATGTGATTCATTTTATCTCAGCATCAAAGCAGCTGTTCAGAGAAATCAAAGGAAGTTTGATTGACAGTTGAGTAACAACGCTTTTCAAAGTGCTGCATATGAAAACGAAACAAATAGAATCAGAAAACAAAATAGAAAATGTACATTGCATTGGCATAAGGGTAATTGAGTATTTAATCATTAAAATAATTAAAGAAAATAAATATGAATGCTTAAAATGATAAGATTTATATTAAAAAATAGTGTGAAATGGTTGATAAGAAAATGAAAATTGGACTGCAAACAACTAATTATGTTTAGATAGCACAGTCAAAGGCCACACTAAACAAATAAGTGTGGTTTAAAGGGTTTCAGCACTTTTGCAGTTTTATTCTCTGAGTTTATTCCAGATGAGAAGCAGCACTGCAGATAATTCAATCTAAATAAACTCAAAGAGTTAAGAAACTTAAACGTATCTATACATATAACACATTCATATTTCTATCTAAGGAAAAACAACTGATTGTAAGGACTCGTTGACTCTCTGAAATCCCTCACACTGAGCAT